GCACTGGGCGAGCGAGGGAGGGCACTTGGAGGCGGTACGGTACTTGGGGGAGGTAGGGGGCCGGGAGCTGCTCGCCAGCCGGACAATCAAGGGCGGGAGGGCATGCGCGAACAGGGCGAGGGAGGGAGGGCATGTAGAGGCGCTTCTTTTTAGAAGGATGTTGCTTATCTTTAAGTTCGTGTCACACAGACCAAGGGGACAGAGCCCCTCAAGGGGTTGTGGACGGTCGTTTTATAGTCGAGGGGAACCACCAGGGGTGGTCACGATCGTTTTATAGTCGAGGGGAACCACCAGGGGTGGTCACGTCAGGCTCCTCAGGCACGAGCGAGCATCCCTCGTGCGTCCGCTTAGATCTGCTGCCTGCTCCCAGCCAATCCTACCAGTACAGGAGATACCACCCGTACTTGGCACAGTGTCGCCCAACAGGGGTTGTACTCCAGAGGTCCAGTAGCCGTTAAAGCTCTTGCTGCCCTCGTGGCTGTGAGACAAGACCATGGCTTGTCTTGCTGCCCACTCCTGCTCAATAAGATTCCTTCCTGCGGAGGTGTTTCTCTGCTAATGCCGATTCGGCTGCGATGGTGATGGTGTACACGTTCAACAATGGAGTCAGCCGTTTGCAGCTCGCCATCTTGTTCTGATTCATATTCTTGACAATCGCCTTCCATGAAATGAGTTGGTATGTCGAAACAATGGATCGGATCAAGAAAGAATATTGAGCTCGAAAAACGAGCATCCTTTACCTAGATATCAAATCTCTCCTGATTACCTGTACTTTGATGCTGAATTCATCACAGATTTGCCAGCACGTGCACGACTTGCGAGTGATGACGTCACTACCTTACCAGCAGCAGTGCTGAACATAATTGAGATTAGGTTCTTTCTGTGAATCATCAAACTCAACAGAGCTCTTTTCTAGATTGCAAAATCTAGAAAATGGTTCGCTCGACCCTCATTAAGTTGTGTCAATCGGGTATCGGTGAACCCACCAGCTACTGCCATGGCATGAAAGTTGTGGAACCAAGTTCCTATCACGGATGACATTCAACTCGTTCTCCGTTGACGTTTCGACTGGAATATGTGAGTTCGAGCAAGACTGTCAAATTATCTACTGTTGTCAAGAAAGTCTTCGTTTTGGCTTCACTTCACTTCATTTGAAATAAGTACATGTCTAGCAATATGGAAGAATTACGAGAAATTCATGGACATGACAAAGAAGTGAAATTATTCAAGTATCCCAATTTCGATCTTCGTCATAAGAAGTTCATCGGATACTCGATAGTCCCATCTGCCATGCTGACTGTGAAAACTTCTTCGTTTCCTCTGAGGGAGATAGAGAACAAGAGCCTTCGGTTCCGCCGATTTAAGAGCCTTCGGTTCCCCTATTACTGTCTGATCTCTAACTCACTGCCTGAGCCTCTCAAGCCGCGCCAAGTGCTTTGAAATCTCGTCGATGAAATTCTGAAAGCATGCAGAAGCACAAGGGTGAAACCCCGTGACCGGTCAACGGTATGACACCACCACTGCCCTGAAAGAGAGATTGAAAGAAGATCTCGTTCCATGTTGCCTCAAATGTCAACTTTTCATAATGAACAAGATCAAGGTTAAGGTGAAGAATGATGATCAACGATCAAGAGTTCAACTCGTAGAAATGAAGCATCGGCATCATTCAGCTGTTTCATCGAGCTTTTTCCTTCTCTCTACCAGCTCTCGCAACGTTTCCTTGACCTGACTCAACGTTAGCAGTCGCTTGACCTCCTCCTCCGCACCTCCTCCAGGTTCTTGTCAGCCAGCGCGCTGCAGTAGACAACCTTGGCACTGGCAAGTGAGCTGTTGGGGTAGAGCTGCGACCAGTCAGCGGCAGGGTTATGAAAGTGAGAAGAAGAGCTGCTGTGCCGATTCATGCTCTTGCTGCTGCTGAAGTTTCTGATGTTGAAACTCTTGTTGCGGGTGGCGTTGGTAGTGAAGATGAGAAGGTTGATGGGGAGCATGATGATGGTGATGATGATTTTCAAAAAAAAGATGATATTGACGTCGATGATGGAAAATTGTGATGGGGCAGGAGCCGGATGCAGTGGGTACAATAACGCGATAGGGAAGGCATAGCGGTACAGGGAATCAGCTCACCGCCTGCTCATGGCGGAGGAAGTACTCGAGAAGCTCCTTGCCGATGTCAGAGCCGTCCAGGTCGCACTAGTCAAGAGGGTCATGAAGGGAAACGAACATGCGAGGAACCTTGTTGGCGAGGATGACAGCGATGCGGGAGGAGAGACCCTGAAGATAGAGATCGAGCTCCTTCTGCAGTGATGGTTGTCAGGTTGACATGTATTTCTGGAAGTGTTCATGTGAGATGAAGTGAAGTGAGATGAGGGCACGTGAGGTAAGGTGAATTGACTGATGACAAGAAGACATGATGGAGGGATGATATAAGACAGCAAGACATGATGGAGGGATGATATAAGACAGCAAGACATGATGGAGGGATGATATAAGACAGCAAGACATGATGGAGGGATGATATAAGACAGCAAGACATGATGGAGGGATGATATAAGACAGCAAGTCATGATGGATTATCGCAACTCACTCGCAACTTCTCCAGGTCATCTACCGGGTCTCTCCCTTCACTCCCTGCGATGTCCAAGACGATGGCGAGGATCTGACAAGTGAGTCAACCGATAAAAAGATGTCAAAACCTGCATGTGGTTTCTTACCTTGGTCCTCTCGATGTGACGGAGGAACGAGTGACCTGAACGAGTTGTTATTGAGCAGAAGACAAGAAACCTCAGACAGCTCCTGACCTAGTCCTCTGTTCTCATGAGCTCCCTCGATCAAGCCTGTTGACATGAAGGTCAGTACAACCAGGATATACAGTTCATTGACGACAGAGAAAGGATCGTCAGCGATACAGCAGGCATGACAAATGGTGATACAACAAGGATAACATGTAAGAAACACATATCCCAACATAAAGAAGTAACTTGACAAGAAGAGAATCTCATCATCGCCCTCATTATCACGATCATTCTTCTACTCTGCTGCCTTCTCGTCGACTTGCCTGGAATGTCGGCGATGGTGAAAGGCTCCACCCCTGGGTCCTCGTGCTCGACCCTCCCAATGTAGGGCCTGCGTGTCAAGAACAGAGTTATGGACGTGTCAATGTTATCATCATTATCATCATCTCCATCCTCACCATCACCATCTCCATCATCATCATCATCATCGTCATCATCTCTATCGTCGTCATCTTCATCATCATCGTCACCACCACCACTACCACCATCTTCATAGCGACATTGTCAAAATCCGTATCGTTTCTTTACCTCAAGGTTGTGAAAGGATACGCTGCGATCTCAGGTCTGCGCCACATCATCGAACATATCAGCCGGCATATCAGCAGGACTACGATCCTACTTGGCGTGAGAAAGCTTGCTCAACAACGAAGACTTTCCTAGTATTTGTTCAGGGCAAACCAACACTTCTGTTCCATCGTCTACCTGCATTCGGAAAGCCCACCAGCCCAACGTCCGCCATGCTCTTAAGCTCGAGCTCAATCCGAATCCTTTCAAAGTCATCGTGAGCAATCATACACGATCTCCCTGCCTCCCTCCCTCCCATTCCCTTCCCTTCCTTTCCCTCTCCCTCTCTCTTCACGTCCTCCTCCTAGTCCCTGACTCTCCTTGCCCCACCTTTGCCCTTTCCTTCCTTTCTCAGCTGTTCTCGGCGCCCTGTTCTTCTTCCTCGCAAACGAGATGTTTCCTCTACCCCCTTGACCTCCAATCGCCACGCGGACAATCTAAAGTCACCATCATCCCCAGCAGCGACACCTTCTCGACATCACATCGCCCTCATGGTTCAGATCCGCCAGCAGCTCAGGCGCTTTCTTCTCCTCCGCCTCCTCCCCACCCTCGTAGGGGATGTTGTAGTGCTCGCAGTAGGCCTGCCTCAGCGTCTTCCCCGTCACATCCAACATGATCGACTTGGGTTGCATCCTCGTGGCTCTTTCCTCTCGTTTCTCAGCTCGTTCAACGAATTGCTTCTGGTGCCGTTGACTTAACGCGCCCTTCTCTGACTCTGCTGCAAAAGTTCACGACACGTCAAACCTCAAGTCCGGAGATCATCGCAAGAGGTCAAGTCTCACCATCTTCTTCTATCCCTTCTGCCTCCTCCAGCTCCTCGTCCCCCTCAGTCTCTCCCTCCTCTCCCTCCTCTCCCTCCTCCTCCTCTCCCTCCTCCACTTCGTCGTTCTCTTCATCCTCATCTTCCTCTGCCGCGGCTGTCTGCCTTCTCGGCAAATTCTTCTTCCGTTTCTTCTCGATCTGTCCATCACCCTCAGTAACTTTTCACAGTAAAACACAGGCTCTCCGACTTGTTCTTTGAGGATCCTACTAATCTCAGTTAACTTCACGTCCCCTTCATCCTCACTCTCTGCATCTTCTTCGGTCAAGTCTTCCATGACACTGACAAGCGTTCCAACTGGAACGTCAATTATGACCTGACGATGTCAAACGTCAAATTCCTACTGCATCTTTCAACCTCTCACATCTTCGCCGCTCCTTCCGATCATCCTACTAGAGCCTCCTGGGAGACCATTTCCCCCGACGTAGGTAAACTTCTCCATCGCCAGGTCAAGAACCTTTGTCATCATCGTCATCGTCATCATCGTCGTGTCATTATCACCACCACCACCATCACCATCACCATCACCATCACCATCATCATCATCTCCATCATCGTCATCATCTTCTCCTCCTCCTCCTCCTTCACCTCATCATCATCATCATCTCCATCATCATCTCCATCATCATCTCCATCATCATCTCCATCATCTCCATCATCATCATCATCATCATCATCATCATCATCATCTGGATCATCATCATCTCCATCACAATAATCATCATAATCTCCTCCTCCTCATCATCATCATCATCATCTTCTCTTCATCATCAATATTCTTCTCTGAGCAACCTTGTTCGATGCTCGCACGTACACGTCTCCCCCCTTCCCTCCTGGCCCTCCGCTCGGCCCTCCATTAATATCGATCGTGTCCCTATGGCAACTCCATGAGGGAAGCGAGACAGCCCACAGGACGTACAGCACGTCAGCTCACCTGGCCATGGAAACGCATCCGTTTCCTCCCCTACCACCGATGGTGAGGACTCTCGTGCGGTCAACAAATTGTCTAGCAGTCCGAAGTCAAGTTTCCTTGTGAGTAGAGGGGGAATGAATGGAGGAAGGGAGAGACGAGAGGGAATGGAGGGAGAAGGGGGGGGGAGGAGGGAGGCCGAGGAGTGGGAAAGGACGACAGGAGCGAACCCGTGAGGAAGTTGGGGGAGGAGGGAAAG